AATGTATTCCTGTAATGGCAATACATGGGAATATGCAGAAGTATGCTAAGGAATTATTTCTTAGGATTATCAATTTTGAAAACTGCTTAAAACTTTTGTGGAAACTGTGATACACTACCATTCAAAAGTCTGGCCAGTTCCTGTGATTTTGGCGTGTTTTATGAAAGTGAAAAACCTCAAGCATGTGGTCGCTCATTTGAAATACTCCCAAATTCATTAACATCAGACGTTAAGAAGAAATTCACACGTGGACATTTTTCTCATGTGCACATTAATACACACAATTACTAGTGAATGAGACCCAGTGTCTTGAAAATAACTTTTCCTATAACCAAAGTCGTACACCACCATGTTAGTTTGTCTACTCGCTGTGGTAAAAAAAAAATCTACAATATGGAAAGATAAAAGGCACCTTCATGAAGGTTTGGTGGGAGGGTTCTCCAGGCTGAGGGGAGTTGACAACCAGATCCATGAGGGCTTGTCCAGGTGCAGGCGGGCACAAACGCACTGATACCAGCTTGGTGAGCTGAGCCTTCACCTCTGGGTCCATGTTGATGACCTCCATGTATCCTCCTCGAAAACCACATCTGATAGTGTGTGTGTGTTTATTTATGGATGTTAGAAAAGAAAGCACATTGTATGGATTGGATGAACTCAAGTGTTCTCATCTGAAATGATAAGTGTGATAGACGTGTACTCACTCTCCCATGTAGCACTTCGAGGTGGAGTGGAATGATGCCAGCTCTACTTTGCTTGAATACTCTGGACCCATCTCGAACAGCACTTTCTTGAAGGAGTGAAACTCACAGCCCTCTGCATACACATTATCCTGATACACCTATGAAAGAGACAAATAGTAAGAGAAATGTTTAGTGCCTGTAAAGAAAGCATTGCCTTTAACCCTTGTATGAATATTTAAGGAAGTGTGCACTTCTCTACCTGTAGATGCTGATGCTAGGGGTGCACTTGATGTGAATACAGATTTTATAGAATGATATAATATGGTGTAAACACCATATGACCCCCAGTATCAACTTACCTCATCAGCCATTAGGAAGAGGTTTTCTTTGGCTGCAAATTGGATTACATCTTCAATACATTGTCTGCTTTGCACCTGACCTATTGAAAGAAAGAATGTAAAGTAATGATTTATAAAATGGAAAGAAAAGAAAGAAATCATTTATAAAAGATAAGAAGAATAGCTGGCAGGTTTAATCTTGCAAAAGGTTATTTATACTATGATTTGGATTATTATACCATACAAAATGTTTTGCTCACCTAGGCTGCAAACATATAGTGAATACAGTAATATTGTGAAATATTACTGATATTTAAAACACCAGTTTTCTATTTGAATATATTTGAATGTAATTTATTCATTTCATCCTGGCATTACTCCGGTCTTCAGTGTCACATGAACCTTCAGAAATATTCTAATATGCAAATTTGGTGCTCAAGAAACATGTATTATTATTATTATTATTATCACAGCTGAAAATTGTTGCGCTGCTTCAAACCATGATACTTTTTTTCAGGATTCTTTAACGAATAGAAAGTTTGAAAGAACAGAAAACATTCAAAAAAATCTAAAATAAAAAACTTAATGGTTCACCAGTGGGGTTGCCGGGGTTGATGATGCACAGTACACTGGGGTTGCAATGCTCCCTGGCTTCCTGTAGAGAGCGCTGTAGCTCACTAATATCTAGACTCCAGCACTTCTCCTCATTCAAGTAGTAATTGACCTGAACAGCACCCAGCTCTGCTATAGATGCAGAGTAAAGAGGGTACTGAGGAATAGAGATCATGACCCCTGTCCGTGTACGACCTTCCCCAGTGGTCAACAGCTTTAGTATGGTCTAAAAGACAACAAGAGACCATAAGAGATAAAACCACATTTCTACATTTCCTCAATAAAATGTGAGGGGTGCATGGTTGTAGGCGGTTGTTGGGGTCTTGTCACTAAATGGTGGTTTCTAAATGGTTGTTTACATCTAGAAGGCTCAATGTAAGACTATGGGATTTGTTTTTAGTGTAAAAATATTAAGTCTGACATACTGAATTATAAATTAAAATAAAATGAACCAAATAAACTGAATGATATGTAAAATAAAATAAAATACTTTTGTTTTGCTCTACTTATATGAAATAATAAATATACTGGATATAGCAGAGCAGAGCAGTATTGGCATACTGGAGCAGGCTAACTGAGTACACAAGTTAAGTGTACAGAGAACTGTATTTGCGTTTGGCTGACGTACCACAATGCCGTCACTGGCTCCTGTCGTGAGGTAGATGTTATCAGGATCAGACGGAATACCACCGTCACGACGCTGTATGTAGTTTGCAACATCGTGCCTCACACAGTCAATGCCCTGACTGGTTGTGTACGCACCTGAGAGAAGGAACAGAGCAAAGGGAGGTTTGAATATGGAAATAGTTTCCTCACAACCTATAATACAGCCTCAAAACCTCAGAGGCCTTTTGGATAGTGACTAACATCATCACTTTAATCAGTAACATCTTGACTGGAGAACAATGGGTAACATCAGTGGTTTCAGTAGTTAACAATCAGTACAGTTAGAGTTTAGGGTAACACTTTTAATGCATTATAAAAAAACGTATAATATGTTATATCAACTCATGAATAATCATAACAACAGTTATAATACATCATAATACTTACGTATTTGTGGTTATAAGTTTAAGAGTATGATTATTTATAACACACAATGGACACCATATTAAATCTACTTCATTTAAAGTATAATAGACTGTATTATATCTTGACATTGTTTATTTAAGATCTGCACAGTATCTTAGTACAGCTTGTGAGTGGTTAGATGTTGAGTGTTATTTGAGTGTTTCCTGTGGCGCTAATGTTAATTAATTGATGTGAGCTTAATACGCCAACTGAAAAAAATGCAATGTTTTATATGGTTACATTTTATTTTGATGGTCCCCTTAATCAATCGACTATAAGCAACTTTGCAACTACATGCCAACTAACTCTCATTAGAGTATTAGTATGCTCAAGAATG